CGGCGCCGAGGGACTCGGCGGTCGCGTGGTGGAAGCGTGGGCTGGCTCCGGGGGTTAGGTCCGCGGCGTGCTGCACCATGGAGGGCGAGGCGTCGAGGCCCACGGCGCGGGCAAAGTGCGCGCCGAGCGCCCGTGTCGCGTTGCCCGGCCCGCAGCCCACGTCGACCAGCAGCCCGGGCCGGCCGCCGGTGGAGGCGTGGAAGAGCAGCACGGCGTCGTAGAGTGCTTGGCTGTAGTCTGGGCGGTAGGCGGCGTAGGACTGCGCTTGCTGCGCGGTGTAGTTTCGAAAAGTATCTTCTTGCACGGCCGCGGTCGCCATGGTGGTGTGCGGTTTGGTCTAGGACGGCATGGAGACGAGTTTGCCAGAAAATGAGGTGCCATGGAGCGGGCTTTATATAGTCATTATGTTTGGCTTTCCACCATCAGTTTTGGGCAATAGTAACCAGTCTTCGGAGCCGGAGGGCGGATATGGCCTCGTGGGCAGCCAATAGCGTTGTCTCGAATGAGTCTCCCCGTTGGGCTTCCCATCCGAGGATCCCGCCAACACGGGGCGGCGATGTGCAGCGCTTGCTGGATGCGGCATAGCGTACGGCGTTGGTGCCCCGGTGCCCCCGATCTAGCGCGCCAAGTGACCCCATCCGCGGCAGCGTTTGGCCAAAGCTGTCGAAGTTCCCAAGTGCAGTTTTGTCCGTTTTGAAAGGGATCAAGACGTGGAGCTGTGCTGCGTACTATACACAAAACCGGGCTTGTTAGCCAGGACCACAGGGCTGCATCATCGTCGATCAAGGCCGCCAAAAGCGCAAGGATAGCACACCCGTTCTTGGATGGCAGACTGGCAGAAACTGAGAAAGAGACTAGGTCTCTTGAAGACGTCAATAGCGGCCTTTTGCATAGCTTTGCGTTCCTGGAAGGCCCGGCACAATGTCACCTTTGAACCCTTTACTGTGCTGATTCAGCCGCCGTCGCTCTTCTGGAGCAGCGCTTGGCCGCCCCAGACTTTCGAATTTTCTTTTTTCAAGTGACAAAAATTTGACATTGCTCACAAGCCGTGCAATAGTGCCGCCCGTCATGCCATCCAGGCGGCCAGTGCTTGACATGCCGCAACCTGGCTACCAAGTCAGTCTCATCGAGATTTTTTTTTTTTGGCTCGAGAGATGATGTAGAAAATCCGGATGCTTACTAATTTGCCCGCCATGGCCAATCATAGCGACCAATGGGCCGGCTTGCTGTCTCGTGATGGCTGTGACAAGGCCGAGCGTTCCCGGCCGGCACCCGCCGAGCCCGCACAATCAAGTGGGGAAGGCGGGGGAGGCTGCCGAACGACCAGTCTCCAAGTTTCCATTCTTCATCCACCGCGTCCCAAACTGCCCTCTTTTCTTCTCTTTCAACCGACCAATTCTTTCACTCCAACACGCACCACACACACACAAACTCATCCACACCCCAACCATGGCGACAGAAAAGGACCTCATCACCTGCCACGTCCTCGACACCACAGCCGGCCGCCCCGCCGGCGGCATTTCCGTGCGCCTGCAAGGCCCCGAGACCAGGGGCCAGACCAACTCGGCGGCGCACAGCTACACGGCCGTGACCGACGCCGACGGGCGCGTCAAGCGCTGGCAGCCCGCGGCGGGGGAGACGACGGCGCTGGGCGAGGCGCT